ACCCACTTTTAACCATGATTTATATATGTTTTTGGAAACAAAAGGATAGTTTTAGTGTCTCTTTAAAGCTTTTACAGGTTCAGGTACTCACTGGTGTAAAATGGCCATTATGGAGCTAAAATGGAGACTTTTTGAAGATATGAGAAAAACATGCTAAACGGTATCGACCGATGTGCATTATGAGAAATCGACCGATGAAAGATCACCCAAATCGATCGATAGAAAAAATTATGTATCGATCGATACAGAAATCCTCCAAAGCGATTAAATGAAGGTTAGAAGCTCTAATTTCTTCAGAAGAGTTTTAATAATTTACACCTTAAGTCCCTGGCCGCCTGTTAGACTATATTAAGAGGGTTTTGTACTAGTTTAAGCATACTTCTCCAGAGACCTTTTAGACCTAATTTTAGAGAAGCATCTAACTATACTTTGAAGAAGAGCTTAGGAATTGAGAGAGAGAGCTGAACTACAATCCAGATAAGATCTTGAACTCCCTTGCTTTACTTATTGTTTCTCTTATTATTATTATTATTATTATTGTTATTATTATTATCTTAAAGTATTATTCAAACCATTATGATTTTGTCTTTCATAAATATGTTTGAGTAGTCTCTTTTCATTTCTTATCATGTTCATTTCATAACTATCATTTTTATTTCATTTTTATAAAAAAAAATGTGTTTTACTAAGAAGGAAGCAATGATCATATAGATTCAAACTTATTACCTAACCATTTCTTAGCACCACTCTTACATTTGTCAGTTACAAAAGGTACTAGAGATGCTAAAGCAAATGACCTGTCAGCTATGGCAACACTTGTTGAAAATGTATGGAAGAACCAAAGCCGATCTCCAACCTAACCTGACATCTATTGCTTGTCTTGGGGCTTGGTATACGAGGGATCGGAATCCTCTTGCAAGTCTTGAAGGTAAAAGTCTCAACAATTTTGGTTTCTTTCTCTTCTTCCTTTGGCATCCAAAAAGAAAAATAAAAGATTGAGATGATTTCCTGAGAGGCAGAGGGAAAGATACATTACCTATGACCCCACTAATCTAATTCAAAGGAATGATCACACATTGTGGAAGCGAGGGAGAGGTACATTACCTATGACCCCACTATTCGCCTACACTTTGTCAAAAAAAAAAAAAAAGAAAGAAGAAAGATCAATAAGATGAACATTAGTTGTTTATTGGGATTGATAGGAAAATTTGGGATTTAGAGAAAGGAGATAAAGAGACAAAAGGAACCAGAATGAGAATGCCTGAAACTTGTTTGAGTTGAATCCAAGTGTTCCTTGATCGATACTCCCAAGGTAAAGCCTACACCTTTATTTTATGCATAAATGAGAACGGCAGAGGGGATAGACAAACATGATCATTGAGTTGTTGGCTAGTTTAATTTGGCTGCTAAGCTAGGATATGGTGTAATGTATTTCTGAGATTGATAGATATCTGAAGTGGATTGCAATAAGTAAAGAGGTGATGGTTCTAAGTTTAGAATTATAGGAGTTTCCGCCTTTCAAACCTTTTCCAGACCAATGTTCTATTATTTGCTTGAGGACAAGCAAAAGGATAAGTCTGGGGGAGTTGATATATCATGGATTTTACCCACTTTTAACCATGACCATTATGGAGCTAAAGTGGAGACTTTCTGAAGATATGAGCAAAACGTGCTAAACGGTATCGAGCGATGTGCATTATGAAAAATCGACCTATGAAAGATCACCCAAATCGACCGATAGAAGACATTCTATATTGATCGATACAAAAATCCTCCAAAGCGATTAAATGAAGATTAGAAGCCCTAATTGCTTCAAAAGAATTTTAATAATTTACACCTTAAGTCCTTGGCCGCCTGTTAGGCTATATTAAGAGGGTTTTGTACTAGTTTAAGTAGACTTCTCCAGAGACCTTTTAGACCTAATTTTAGAGAAGCATCTAACTATAATTTGAAGAAGAGCTTAGAAATTGAGAGAGAGATCTGAACTACAATCCAAAGAAGATCTTGAACTCCCTTGCTTTACTTATTATTATTATTATTATTAATATTATTATTATCTTAAAGCATTATTCAAACCATTATGATTTTGTCTCTCATAAATATGTTTGAGTAGTCTCTCTTGTTAGATTTAGGTTTCTCATTAGGGTTGACTCATGCATTGAATTAATCATCATTAGGGTGTTTAAAATATAGTTCTAAATCTAGTCATCATAAATACTAGTGTTAAGGATTGATCATCCTTACCTCTGATTTTAGGATCAATTTGGATAAGTGAGAACTTAGCAATTGCCTAGAGTCTAGGTTGTTTATTAAAGACTAGAGAACCCTTTCAAACCTATTATTAGTACTCGCTGGATGCAATATCGATCGACGAGATAACCGTCCTGTCGACCGATATAGCATAACGTCATCGATCGATATTTCTATCAAACTATCGATCGATATTTACTCAAGGTCATCGAACGATAGTTCTTGACCCGAGATCCAGTAAGAGTTAATTCTTCATATCCTTAAGAGTTTGAATCCAGAACTATGAATAATAAAAACCCTTTATAACTTGCATGTTTGTCATACCTGAAAAAATACCTAAGTTTAACTACCTTCTTTTCTCTTCACAAACAAATCAATCAATCAAGCAATCGCTTGGTTACCTTTTTAAGTTATTGTTTAACACTTGCTATCTAGCTTTACTTCGAAAACTAAATAATCTGTTGTGTACTCCCTAGTGTCTCTCTGGATTCAATTCTTAAGTACTACAATTGAACCTCTTTTGATGAGAGTAATTCACTCCTAGGGTAATTTGAGTGATATCAAATTTGGCGCCGTTGCCGGGGACTCTTTCTTATTACCATCAGATTTAGTTTAGAATTTAGTCTAGATTTTTATTTTTGTTTACTTAATTCTTTTTCTTCTTTCTCTGCTATCACAGGGAACTCAAGATGGAAAAGACAGATTTCGGCCAAGCATCGACCGATGACGTAATACACACATCGAGCGATATGATTGCCAAGGAATCGACAAATGATGTGACGCATAGATCGAACGATATGTCGACCGAGGAATCGACCGACATGATCCAACCAACATAGATCGGTGAAACCCATCCGGAAGCAGGTAAGTCTTCACTTACCAATCTAGTTAATGAGGAAGTAGTCCAAAACGAACCATTAGGTCAGTTATGCAATGAAACAAATGAACTTACAGTTAAACAGGGGACTGCAACCCCTGTCAATTGTTATCCATCTTCAAACAAAGATGTAGAAAAACTGCGCTAGATAGACAAGCTACCAAACTATGAAGAGTTCTCCCAGGCACATTTCCCAATGACTGGTTTTTAGATCTAAAATTCAAAATCCTACCGACACCACCGCCATCCACCGCAAGAAAAGAAGAGCCAAGCCGCACCTTTACTATTCCGGTGACCTAAAAATGGGTACTTAAAATTTTACTCCGATCAATCAAAGGAGCTTTCAATGGAGATTCAGATGCGCTCCCTCCCAACTCGAGATAAGCCCTCTATCCCTGAAAAGTAAGGTGAAAGAATCGGAGCAAAAAGTTCTGAAGATCCGAAAATATCAAGACTCAAGAAGAATCAGCTGCAAATTGAAACAAGATAAAGAAGTTACCTCTTTTTGAGGATTGTTTAGTAGTTCTAACGCGAAGTTAAAAGTGCTTCACATCAGACGCGAAAGCATGGCTCACAGATACGCTAGAGCAGACAAGGAAAAATGGGTCTCACAAGAAACAAATACAGAGCGTCGAAGACCGATCCAGATACCCCAAAATGACAACTCAGCCTTGATTGAAGACAACAAGCTTACCTTACTTGGTAGAGTCACAAACCCAGCAGCTCAAAAGACCCAATGGGTAGTTGAATGGTTCTTACAATACTGGGGAGTCGAAGGGGAGCTTACAGGAAGAGATTTAGGTCCGGAACTATTCCAAATCAGATTCACTTCTGAATCGGCTCTGCAATCAGTCCTGAGAAAGGGTCCCTACCACTACAAAAGATGGATGATTCTACTGCAAAGATGGGAACCAGTAATCTCCAACTCATTCCCAAGGAATATTGATTTCTCGATCAGATTCCATGGTCTCCCTCTCCACTATTGGACGGATACAGCACTAGAAGCTATTGGAAAGGAGCTGGGACCGGTCATTGACAAAGATGCGGAGCATGGAAGAATCAGAATTCGGATAGATGGGCTTAAGAATTTAGAGATGAGTCTACCCCTAGAGCTTCCATCTGGGGATATTTCAGTGGATCTGGAATATGAAAAGCTTGAAAAGCATTGCTTTATATGCTTCTCCTTATGTCATTAGAAGGAGAATTGCCCGAAAGGTAAAGAAACTTCTAAAACTCCTCAAGTTGCACAAGGAATCAGTCAACAAAACACTCTGAGGAAACTAGAAGAACATCATCGAAGACATGATAGCAGACGAGATGAAGTTCTTTCATCTAGAATAAGAAGAGAGGACTCCAGAGATCAAGGGGGAAGCCACAGATCAGTATACTCGAGACTCCAAGACCCTCGTAGAGGAAGATATCAGACCTCAGACATGTCAAGATCTTATAACTCCATGGAAAGAGAAAACAGAGGATATGAAGACCGAAGAAGTGAAAGAGAGAATGTTCCGGCCAGGGTACTCTCCTCTCACCACAGCTATCCTTCTCAGAGACGTCCCTCCCCTTCCAGGAGACGCTCTAAGGATCCCCCTCTCTCCCTCAGAAGCAGGGAGGACCAACGGCATCAGCCAGAGAGTCATAGAACCCAAAGCTCAAGAACTCCACCACCCCGTCCTACCCGAGAGGAAATGGCTTTTCCAGGGAATCGCGATACTGCAGAGGTTAGTAGTAAATCAAAGGAAAGGGTCTCAGCTCTAGAAAGAATAGAAGGAGGAGCCAACCTCTCATCAGGAAGAATCCCAGCGAGAGAAAGACTAGAAGACCTTAGGGAGGTGTCACACCCCTCCTCAGAACGGATCCCAGCTCTGGACAGAACTGAAGCCCCCCCAAATGAACAGCAGAGAACAACTGGACTCTCCAGCTCTATTCTTGCAAGGCTCCAGGATGTTGATGTCCGGTATGAGGAGGATGAGTTCCAGAGCCCTCTCTTAGGAGAAGGGTCTTCGAGGCGTCCTCAATATGACACCCAGTCAGACCTCCATCTTGTAAACCCGAGGACTCCTGCTACCCTCCGCTTGGGATCAACTTCAGGAACTGGCAAGAGGAAAAACCCGCCCAAAGCCACAACAAAAAAAACAACGCAAGCCAAGCAAGCAAACCAACGCAAAGCAGCTGCAAAAGTGACGGGAGTAAGTAGATCGAGAAGTATAAAAAGTCCACTTCAGGGAGCAAAGGCGTCTAAACAACTAGCAGCAAGAGTTAGACCCCCTGCTAGAAAGAAGCTATGTGTGGATAAAATTGTTCAGAATCAAGATTTACCTTGTAATAAGGATGGAGGAAAAATAGCTGGATCGAGCAGAGGAGGTACGAGTAAGGAGAAGGTGGATTTTCAAAATCCACCAGACCAGATTCCTTAGCTGTTTTGAGCTGGAACTGTCAAGGTTTGGGAGGGAAATTGACAGTTCCAAGACTCCGGGAGCTAAAACGTGTACACGCCCCAGATATTTTGTATCTTATGGAGACAAAGAATCAAACAGACTATGTAATCTCAAAATTGATTTCTCCAGATTATAATCATCACTGTATTATTCCACCAGAGGGTCTTAGTGGAGGGCTAGCACTGGTGTGGAAGAATGACATTGATGTAACAATACTCAAAGCTTCCTCCAATTACATCGATACAAAAATTAACCACAAAGGAAAGTCTCTGTTTATGACCTTCCTTTATGGAGCACCGCAGCAGGAGAATCGATCAGCTTTTTGGGAGGAAATTACAAACTTGGGAATAGGAAGAAATGAAGCGTGGGCTCTAACCGGCGACTTCAACGACATTCTGGATAATTCAGAGAAATCAGGAGGTCCAGAGAGATGCGAGGGCTCTTTCATACGATTCAGAAGCTTCGTCTCCAATAATGGCCTTTGGGATGTTAAGCACACTGGCAATGAGCTATCATGGAGAGGTAGACGGCACACCCACGATATCAAATCAAGACTTGATCGTACGTTAGCGAACGTAGAATGGTTTGACACCTTTCCTTCGGGAAGTTGCAGCTACCTGAGATACGAGGGTTCGGACCATAGACCCCTGCTGACCTATCTAGAAACTCACAAGATCAAAAAGAAAGCTCCATTCCGTTACGATAGGAGGTTGAACGAGATAGAAGAAGCAAGAATTATTATTGAAGTTGCATGGAGTCAAGGCTTGGAAGAGAAAGTAGACTTTAAAATCTCAAGAGTTAGAAGAGAGATTATTAGCTGGTACAAAATCCAGAAGGAGAGTACAGCAAAGGAGATATTACTAAATCAAGCTGAGCTCGAGGAGGAACTATCAGCTACTAGCCCTAACAGCATCAAGATAGCAGCACTCACAGAATCTCTTAATATCGCCTACAATGCTGAGGAACTGTTTTGGAAACAAAGAAGCAGGATCATGTGGCTGCAAGAAGGAGACCGGAACAGTGCTTTCTTTCACGCTGTGACGAAAGGACGGAGGGCGAGGAATAGGATCACGGTAATAGAAAATGCTGAGGGTGTACAAGTCCACGAGGAGGAGGAAATTGGTAAAGTGTTTGCAGATTTCTACCAAGCGTTGTTCTCATCAAACGGTATCTCAAGCTTCAGAACGGTAGAAGAAACCATCTCAGGGAGAGTTACTTTGGAGATGAACGAGAGGCTTTGCAAAATCCCAGAAGAAGAAGAAGTGAGAGTAGCCACTTTTGCAATCAATGCAGAAAAAGCTCCAGGGGTAGATGGATTTTCTGCAAGTTTTTACCAGTCTTTCTGGAGCGTTCTGGGGACAGATATTTACCGGGAAATCCGGGACTTCTTTACATCAGGGTTGATGAATCCAAGGATTAACGAGACCTTTGTGTGTTTGATTCCAAAAATCTCGGCACCAAAATCTGCTGCGGAGTATCGTCCTATAGCCCTCTGCACAATCAGATACAAGATTATAGCAAAAATCCTTACCCGTCGTTTACAGAGTATCTTACCAGAGCTGATAACGGAGCACCAATCAGCTTTCGTCCCCGGAAGAGCGATCTCGGACAATGTCCTCATCACACATGAAACGCTCCACTATCTGAAAGCTTCGGATGCTGTTAAGCGTTGCTCCATGGTCGTCAAGATTGACATGAGCAAGGCTTATGACATAATTGAATGGGGATTTCTTGAGGAAGTGATGAAGAGGCTGGGTTTCAGAGAGATTTGGGTTAAGTGGGTGATGGAGTGTGTTACCTCTGTAACCTATTCTTTCCTCATAAACGGATCTCCATATGGTAAGATCACGCCGTCTCGAGGGCTTCGGCAGGGAGATCCGTTGTCTCCATATCTCTTCATTCTCTGTACAGAAGTTCTATCAGGATTATGCAGGAATGCACAGAGTGATGGCAGTCTCCTAGGGCTGCAAGTCTCCCAAAAAAGCCCACATGTTAATCATCTGCTCTTCGCGGACGACACGATGCTGTTTTGCAAAACAAATGAGAAGAACTGCAAGGCTTTGAAAAACATCCTGCGAAGGTATGAGAAGAGCTCAGGACAAAGCATCAACCTGGATAAATCAACGGTTACTTTCTCCTCAAAAACCCCAGAAGATATCAAAGACAGAGTTAAGAATTCACTGGGGATCCACAAAGAAGGAGGGATGGGAAAATACTTGGGTTTACCCGAGACCTTTGGAAGAAGTAAGAGAGATGTCTTCACAGGAATGGTGGATAATATCCGACAACGAGCCCAATCGTGGACAACCAGATTCCTCTCAGGTGCAGGGAAGCATATCATGTTACAGTCCGTACTTACCTCTCTCCCAACTTACCATATGTCAAGCTTCAAGATCCCTATCTCCTTGTGCAAAAGGATCCAGTAAATTCTCACAAGGTTCTGGTGGGATAGTTCTCCAGATAAGAGAAAGATTTCGTGGGTATCATTGGAGATTATGGCTCAGCCGAAACACTTGGGAGGACTTGGTTTCAAAAACTTGGTGGATTACAATGATTCTTTGTTGGGAAAGCTTAGCTGGCGAATTGAATCCAACCCAGAGTCCCTTTTAGCACGAGTGTTAAAGGGTAAGTATTTTCCAGACAGTAAGTTCCTGGAAAGTGAAGATAAAGCGGGTTCTTCTCACGGGTGGACCAGCATCATGGCTGGGATGGAGGTGCTAAAGAAAGGTTTAGGTTTCGTAGTTGGAAACGGCGAAAACATAAGAGTATGGCAAGACCACTGGCTCTCCCCTTGTAAGCCGGTAACACCTTATGGACCACCAACCTTTTCCAATCAAGAGCTTCGAGTCTCTGACCTCATCAACCAACAATCAAAGGAGTGGGATCTTAATAAAATCCGTCTCCATTTACCTCAGTATGAGGATAGTATCAGGCTCATTATTCCCAGCAGATTAAACCCAGCTGATAAGCAAGTTTGGCTCCCTGAAGTCTCGGGATCTTATACTACAAAATCAGGGTACAAAGAGATATTTGTAGAGAAGCTGCCTTTGGTGCGAGATCATTTTGAATGGATGAAGAAGGTTTGGAAGCTGCACACAGCTCCAAAAATTCACCATTTTCTATGGAGAATTCTTCATAATGCCATCCCGGTGGGATCCCTTCTAGCTATAAGAGGAATCAACTGAGAGCTGCAGTGCAAACGGTGCGGAGGGCTGGAGACAATCTCCCACCTCTTCCTAGATTGTCAATTCGCGAGGGAAGTCTGGGATCTAGCTCCACTTGTAACCTTTGGTGACAGCTCGGTGCTCTTTCGAGACTGGTTGTCATCTAATGTTTCACTAGGAGCTCTACCCCCAACAGGACTGATATCCTCTCCTCTGGTTCCATGGTTACTGTGGAATATATGGACTGCAAGAAATAAGTTGATCTTTGATGAGAAATTGTTTCAGGTGGAAGATGTTATAACAAAAGCAATTTCAGAAGCAAAGGAATGGGAGAGAGCGAATGAAAAGAAGATCAAGAAGAAGGAGAAGAAAATCCCAATCATGAAGAGGCTCACATCATCACCCTCTTGCTGGATAGACGGAGCATGGCATGGCTCTACGCTCATGGGAGGTATGGGATGGATCTTTAAAAATGCAGAAGGAGAGGTGATCTGCAGAGGCTCCGCTAGTCGATCACATGTCAGCTCAGCTTTGATGGCAGAAGCGTTGGCTCTGCTGGAAGATTTCAAGAAGGCAAAGGATCTAAACCTCCAAAGCCTTCAGATTTACTCGGACTCTCAGGTCCTTGTCTCCACCCTAAGCACTGGGTCGGATATGATTGAGATTGCAGGAGTTCTGATGGACATTAAAATCCTTGCCACTCTCTTCTGTCCCTTATCTTTTAGTTACATTCCTCGTTTGGAAAATGTTCAGGCTGATACTTTAGCTAAATCAGGCCTTTCTAGAATATCACAAGCTGTGTAACCGTTGAACTCTTTTGGTTAAGTAGTAATGCAAGTATTGGTTTGACAAAAAAAAAAAAAAAAAAAAACTGCAAGACTACTTAGACCCCATTAAGACCTATTCCAATAGGCCAGCTATTAAGTTACAAGAGGATGCAGCAAATAAGTCTATGCTTCATTTTGATTACAACCATCTGGTACAAGAAAATCCCTTCCGTGGTTCTGCCTCAGAGCACCCCCACGAGCACATCGATTTTCTAGAAGAACTGGCACTCAGCGATATTAATCGTTGTAGAATGTTCCCTTTCTCTTTAGGGAGGGAAGCCAGAAATTGGTTAAATTAAATACCAGCGGGAACCTTAACCTGCTGGAATGATATTCGCACTGCTTTCATTAACCAATTCTTCGATGATACTCTCCACTTTCCTTCACGGCCCACGAGAATCTTTTAGAAACGCTTGGATTAGATTTAAGAATCATTATCGAGATTGTACCCACCATGGTTATTCAAAACCACAGCTCCTTAAATTTTTCTACGGAGGCCTCGAGCTAGATTACCAGATCACGCTAGATAATGCGAGTAATGGAAATTTCAGCTCCAGGAACCCAGAAGAAGCAAATCATTTGATTGAAAACATAACAATGGGTAAATCTTATGAAAATAAAGATAAAGAAAGAGAAGCTAGATCCAGAAATAACCTTCAAATAGATGAAATTAGGAAATCTCTAGATCTCCTTCGTTCTTTCACAAAGGAAAAGAAGCCTGATATTACCCAAAGCAAAGAGGATATCTATTCCACTGAGCAAACACTCCTTATACATGAAAACACCCAGGAAGACCTTTTTGACATAGATAGTTTTACCCAAAACTACAACACCTTCGCCGTTTCACACCGCGGGAGAACCCAAACCGATTTAAACCATGTCTTCACGGAAAATCAGAGGCTAAGCCAAGACCTACACATCAAGTTGAATGATGTTTACTGCGAAATGTCAGAGAAATTTGACACTTTGCATAAGCAAATTAGAAGTCTATAAAGCGATGTTGCCAATTGCGCTCCTGCTATCAAGAGGGAAGCATGACGTCTACCAGGGAAGACTGATATAAACCCAAGACGTCATGTAAGTGCTGTGATGTTGAGGAACGAAAAACAGCTAACTCCGATTATTAGAGAAAACACCCCTTCAGATGGAAACACTGAAATTTTAGAAATGGAGAAATCCATTCCCAACCCCGTGTTAATCCGCGATATGAAATCCGAACTCCCACAGAACAAAGAAAAGAATAAAAATTCTAAGGAAACTAAGGAACCAGTGATCATTCTCGATGAAGAAGAAATTGTCGATGTTGATCGATATGAAGACACTGAAATCGATCGACAGACACCCACGAATCCGAAAGAGAAGCCAGCACCCACTGGACCAACCATAGAACGGGTGTACAACACTTTACCTCCCTACTCTCCCAAGTCTAATACTAGACACAACATGGACAAAGAAATTTGCAGACGAGCTTTTGAACGAGTTATGGTAGAAATGCCACTCAGTGACGCTCTCAAAATTTCACCAACCATAAGACAGTATGTCAAAGGAATGACGACCAAGAGTTTTTCAACAGAGAAACGCAGCGTCATGATGGTTTCAGCAGAAGCTAGCGCCATAATTCAAACCCCAGAGAAGAGACCAAATCCTGGTAGTTTCATTCTCAAATGCACAATTCGAAACCAGCTATTCTCGAGAGCACTATGTGATCTAGGCTCTAGCATGAATTTAATGACGCACTCCGTTGCAACATTCCTTGGGTACACTGAATTTACACTAGCTAATATCGAACTAGTTCTTGCTAATAGATCTGTTAGGATTCCGGAAGGTGTACTTGAAGATGTACCAGTAAAAATCGACGGATGCATTGCCCCAACAGATTTTGTTGTGCTACATTACAAGAACGAGCCGAGAGATCCGATTCTATTAGGTAGACCATTCCTTGCTACCGCGAACGCCATTATTGATGTTAAGGAGGGACGAATAAATCTCAACATAGGTAACATCCCTATGAGATTTGATATGGAAAAGGTCATCACACTTCCTTTAATAGATAAGCAATCATCTTATGTGGACGACGTGGATGAACTGACCCAAGAATCTTTTGAGAAATTGTACTCGGATGATCATTTGCGCCTGTATCTGCTCAGAACAAAATTTTCGGCATAGATAGCAGAGCAACCGAGTGCGATCGTCTCATAGAAACTAGCCAACGATCCTCATGCGTTGGAACCAAAAGCGATGATGGATCAGAGATCGATATCGATTGATATCTTAAAAGTGATATCGATCAACACCCGCCATCAATTGGAAATCTCACAAAGGAAAAAGCACCAAAAGTGGAGCTTAAGCCGTTACCCGCTGGACTTAAGTACGCTTTTCTTATGGACGATTGCTATCCAGTGATAGTTAACGCAAATCTCACTAATAAGGAACTTGCTCTATTACTGAACAAGATTCGCAAGCATAGGAAAGCACTTGGATACTCTTTAGATGACATTCTAGGCATATCTCCTGATCTTTGTATGCACCAGATTCATCTGGAGGACGAATCCAAGTCGTCTATAGAACATCAGAGACGACTGAACCCGAATCTCCAGGAAGTCGTAAAGAAGGAAATCATTAAACTGCTTGATGCAGGGATAATTTATCCAATTTCTGATAGCAATTGGGTAAGTCTGGTCCACGTTGTACCAAAGAAGGGAGGTATTACGGTTGTCAAGAACGAAAAAGGTGAACTTATCCCGACGAGGACTGTAACCGGACATCGCATGTGCATCGATTATAGGAAACTGAATTCCACAACACGGAAGGATCACTTTCCTCTGCCTATTATTGACCAGATGTTGGAAAGACTAGCAAATCACCAATACTATTGTTTTCTTGATGGATATTCCGGATTTTTCCAAATCCCGATAACTCACTCACACATCCGGATGATCAAGAAAAGACAACATTCACATTCCCCTATGGAACCTTTGCATATCGGAGGATGCCATTTGGTCTGTGCAACGCCCTAGCTACTTTCCAACGCTGCATGATGTCAATCTTCACTGATATGATAGAAAACTTCATGGAAGTATTCATGGATGACTTCTCAGTTTATGGATCGAGTTTTAAAGTTTGTCTCGATAACCTATGCAAGGTTTTGGAGAGATGCAAGGAAAAGAATCTGGTCCTCAACTGGGAAAAGTATCATTTCATGGTCAATTACGGAATCGTTCTCGGACACAAAGTATGCACAGCAGGAATTGAGGTAGACAGAGCAAAAATAGAATTGATGATGAATCTACCGCCCCCAACTAACATAAGAGACATCAGAAGTTTTCTAGGACATGCAGGATTCTATAGGAGATTTATAGAGGATTTCAGCAAGATAGCCAGACCTCTGACTGCCCTCCTTTGTAAGGACACAAAATTCGATTTCACACCGGACTGCCAACAAGCATTCGAAAATATCAAGAAAGCACTGATAACTGCCCCCGTCGTACAAGCACCTGACTGGAACCTTCCCTTCGAAATAATGTGCGATGCGAGCGATTTTGCTGTAGGAGCGGTTTTAGGGAAATGAAAAGAGAAAAAACTACATGCTATCTATTATGCCAGCCGAACTCTGGACGACGCCCAGAGAAACTATGGAACAACTGAGAAAGAACTACTTGCAGTAGTATACGCTTTCGAGAAATTCCGTAACTATGTAGTAGGCTCGAAGGTCATTGTTCACACTGATCATGCCGCTATTAGATATCTAATGCAAAAGAAAGATGCGAAACCACGCCTTATTCGATGGATACTCCTTCTCCAAGAATTCGATATGGAAATAAAGGATAAGAGGGGAGTAGACAATGGTGTCGCAGATCATCTTTCCCGGATAAGAATAGACGAAGAAGTCCCTATCAATGATTTCATACCAACTGAAAATGTGTACTTCACAGATTCATCACTCATCGGCCAGGTACAACTCTCATCTGAACTTGCATCAGCCGTTGATACTGAAGACATCGGTTTTGGAGACTTGACATCGATCGATGCACAATCAGTTGAATCAATCAATACTAGTGATACCATGTCGATCGATGGAAACAACGATATTGGCTTACGAAACATTACGTTTAAGATCCCCATCGACACGACCGCGGCTGTGGCACGCCAGACACTCGCTGATACACACAACATCTCCCAGAATGGAGATATTGAGCAGGAAACGCACGCTGTGGAAAAGCGATTTAGCAAGAGACCTTGGTATTCTGACATAGTAAACTATCTTGCCGCCAACGTCGAACCTGAAGAACATAAACACTACGATAGAAAGAAGTTTTTCAGAGAAGTATGGAGGTATCACTTGGACGAACCTTACCTTTACAAACAATGCGCTGACGGCATATTTCGACGATGCGTAGCTGAATCCAAAATTTATGATATCATTTACAACAGCCATGGATCCGAATACGCTGGACATTTTGCAACCTTTAAAACGGTTTCCGAAATTCTCCAAGCTGGATTTTGGTGGCCTACAATGTTCTGCGACGTTCATGCCTTTATAGTTAAGTGCGACAGATGCCAACGCCGAGGAAAAATTAGCAAGAGACATGAAATTGGAACAGATCATTCTTGAAGTAGAAGTTTTTGATTGTTGGGGGATCGAATTCATGGGTCCTTTCCCTACTTCTTACGGAAACCGCTACATTCTGGTTGCTGCCGATTACGTTTCCAAATGGGTTGAAGCAAATGATTCACCCACCAATGATGCCTCTGTTGTTATCAAACTTTTCAAAAGCATCATGTTTTTCAAAATTAAAGCATTTAGTTTCAGTTAATTAATTATTTAACGTTCAGCAAACCTAGTAAACATAATAGTCTAATCAAGTCATATCGACCGATATACACCTATCTGTATCGGTCGATACGAACATATCGAGGGCAACCCCTTTTAAGTCGATATGCGCCTCTCTCTCCCTCACAATCGCACAACACACCCAAAACACAAAAACCTCCCTTTCTCTCTCGATTCTTCACTGATCTTAC